CAGCGAGACTGTCTCAAAAAAAAAAAAAAAAGAAAGTGCTGAAAGAGTACCTGGTACAGAATAAGTGCTGGCCAAGTAGCAGCTGTTGATCCTATTGTTAAGATTGGGAGTTTAGTGGATGGGAGAAAGGTGATATCTAGAGGATATACACATTCTAAGTTGCCCCCAACACTTTTTCTTTTGATTTCTTGTCTTCTGTTTTAACTTTTTTTATTATAAGGTATACATAAGATAAAATTTACAATTTTAACAATTTTAAAGTGTACAATTCAGTGGCATTAAGTACATAAACTTTTTCTTTTTTTGTTTGTTTGTTTTTTTTTTTGAGACAGAGTCTCGCTCTGTCACCCAGGCTGGAGTGCAATGGTGCGATCTTGGCTCACTGCAACCTCCGTCTCCCAGGTTTAAGTGATTCCCCTGCCTCAGCCTCCTGAGTAGCTGGGATTACAGGTGCCCGCCACCACACCTGGCTAATTTTTGTATTTTCAGTAGAGACGGGGTTTCACCACATTGGACAGGCTGGTCTCGAACTCCTGACCTCAAGTGATCTGCCTGTCTCAGCCTCCCAAAGTGCTGGGATTACAAGCGTGAGCCATGCACCCTGCCTCAAGCCCTCTTCTTAAGGAGGCTTTTCCTTTGTTCTATTATATGAAGAGAGGCAGGTTAGGAAATTCAGCACCCATAGAGATAGATGCTGTCCACACCTGTGCATTTGCGCACTGAACTATGTCACCATCCACGCCAGTGCACTTGATGCCAGCTGCCTGGGCGGGAAGCAGTTTACCTCCCGAGTCTGTTTTTCTGGGACTAAGATTAAAATGAGTTTGCATTTGCCTTCCCTGAATAAACATCAGTGAAAGGGAAAGCTAAGTAAGCCACAGGAGCCCATGTGGGCCCAACTGGGAAAGAAAAGGGCCAGACAAGGGCTTGGAGAGCCAGAGAGACTATGTTCAGTTCAATACTGAAGCTTCTGAAGGGATGAGGCTGGTCTTTGGGACTTGCCCCAGGGCCAGACCGTGGTGTGTCACAGCACCGCAAGCACTGTGGTGAGGTGGTGGACATGTTGTGGGACCCCCTTGTGTCGGGAAAGGGACCTAAGAAGCCAGGGCTTGGACTGAGCGGTTGTTACAAGCCGCTCCAGAGATGGATTTTCTCCCTGTGGTTTTGGGAGTCTAATGCGTTTTCCAAGTGCTTTAAGATCAAAGGGTATAGTGAGTAATATTACCTTAGGCCCATAAAGTCCGTCCATCTTCCTCCCACACACACCATTAAGCATTCAGGGTAACCCAGAAGGTGCTACTAGACTTCCAGGGAGCTTAGCTTTGATTGTTCACAATTTTTTCATTTTTCTGGAAAAGAGGATTATAAGATATAATCCTTCAACTATTATTGGTTTCCTGGATTAGGGATATTATCTCATTTGATCCTCATAATAGCCCTGCAAAGTAGGAACTATTGACTCAATTTTCTTTTCTTTTCTTTTTTTTTTCTTTTTTTGAGACAGTCTTGCTCTATCGCCCAGGCTGGAGTGTAGTGGCGTGATCTCAGCTCACTGCAACCTCTGCCTCCCCAGTTCAAGCAATTCTCCCTGCCTTAGCCTCCCGAATAGCTGGGATTACAGGCACCTGCCACCATGACTGGCTAAGTTTTGTATTTTTAGTAGCGATGGGGTTTCGCCATGTTGGCCAGGCTGGTCTTGAACTCGTGACCTCAGGTTATCCTCCCACCTTGGCCTCCCAAAGTGCTGGGATTATAGGCACGAGCCACCATGCCCGACTGCCTCAATTTTCTAAGTGAAGAAAATGGGTCTCAGTGATCTATAGAAAAGGTAAGGTGGAAAGCCTAGGTTTGCACCCTGGTTCTGTGAAGGGATTTGAGGTGACACTGGTCACACTCTTAGTATAGGGCTATCACATAGGAGGAGCCTGGACAATGGCTCAACATCACTGTCCCCATCCCACATCTCCACTGCTCATCTAAGGCCACACCGCTGGCAAGCCTGAGCATGAATGGAACCGAAGACTTTTGATGCTAAGTCCCCAGCCTTTCCACTTTCCAATTATGTTGAAATTAATCAGAGATCTCAACCCTGACTTTTGAAGGCCGGACCTCCATCTCATCAAAATCGGAGTGTGCGTACTTGATGGAGGTTATTAGACCATCAGTGGTTTGCATGTGTATGTGGCACATCTCAGGATGTCATGGGAAACACACCTCTGATGGGCTGGGTCCCTGTACCTGCCCCTGGTTCCCAGTCACTGGGTTTGAGAAATGTTGAGAACAGGAATGTTGTTGGCCATGCAAATCAACAAAGGCAGGAAAAAAAAAAAGACAAGTTGATGGCTCAAGGCCATTCCAGCTTCAGAATTCTTCAAGAACAAGATGAGTGGTTTGCTGATCCCCTGTGACCAGAGTAATTCTGAGATGGCCCTTGGTAACCCAGGGTCTCACAGATATTTCTGTAACATTGACCTTGAGTGCCCTTCTTGTATATTAAGTCCAGAGAGTTAGTACCATCAGCCCATCGCTGAGTAACAACTGGGCTTACTATGCATCCAGCTTTGGGGGATACCATAAGACATGGTCCCTGGGCTCCGAGGAGCTCCCAGATCTCACTGAAGGAACTAGAGGACAATCTGGAGTGCAAACAAGAGTCCCCCCTCTTTTGGAAGCTTGGCTGTGGGTTGCTCTGGGCAGCAGTGGGTCAGTGTGGTGCGGACAGGGGATGGCTCCCAAGTGCTTTTTGTGCATTGCATCATTTAGTCTTCACAACTTCCCTACAATGGGTAATTCTGTTGTTATCACCATTTCACAGGCGGGGAAATTGAGACACAGGGAGGTTAAGTAACTTGCACAGTCATACACCTAATAGGTAGCAGAGCTGAGATTCAAATCCAGGCAGGCCGGAAAGCCAGAGTCAATGCTCTTAGCCCCTACCCCTGTTCCATCCTAGAGGGGCTCAGCTAATCCTTGAAGGATGAGGGATTTTAGGGAGGCAAAATACTAAGGAGTGGGAGCTCCACAGACCTGGGTTTGGTAGTACTGGTTGTGTGACTTTAGACAACTTTGAGCCTCAATTTCTTCATCTGGTAAATGATAACATCCTCTTTTATACAGAGTGGTGTGACTGAGATAATGCGTTTAGTTAGAGCACAGTGCAAGGAGTTTTATGATGATGATTATTGTTATAAACGGAGAGTGGGAAAGACAGGTACAGCTGACCAATGCCCAGCATCATGGATGAACATGGACTATATGTGGTGGTTGAACAGGTGGCAGGGAGGGAGTCCGTGAAGTTACAGTGTGGGATGGTTGTAATAGGTGAGTGTGAAATAACAGTTGGCTGGGAAGCATGAGGCCAGGTCATTGAGGACCTTGAAAACTAACTAAAATGCTCTACAGCTCTTCAAAACAGCAGGTGTGTGGACTTTGTTGACATATGGAAATGTATGTTTGGAAAAAAAAAAATAGAATGCAAAATAGTATGTACAGACTGACAGCTGTGTAAACATATTATAGCCTGTTAAGCTTAGCGATCAGAAGGGCATCTGCAGAGCTATAAATATTCAAGTTCAGGCTGGGAACAGTGGCTCATACCTGTAATCCCCACACTTTGGGAGGCCAAGGTGGGCGGATTACTTGAGCCCAGGAGTTCCAGACCAGCTTGGGAGACATGACAAAACCACATTCTCTAAAATATATACAAAAAATTAGCTAGGGCTGGGCACAGTGGCTCACGCCTGTAATCCCAGCACTTTGGAAGGCAGAGGTGGGCGGATCACGAGGTCAGGAGTTCAAGACCAGCCTGGCCAACATGGTGAAACCCCATCTCTACTAAAAATACAAAAAATTAGCTGGGCATGGTGGTGCACGCCCCTATAATCCCAGCTACTCAGGAGGCTGAGGCAGAAGAATCGCTTGAACCCAGGAGGCAGAGGTTGCGGTGAGCGGGGATCATGCCATGGCACTCCAGCCTGGGTGACAGAGTAAGACTCCATCTCAAAAAAAGAAAAAAAAGCCAGGAATGGTGGGCACACATCTGTAGTTCCAGCTACAGATGGGAAGATTGCTTGAGCCAGGGAGATCAAGGCTGCAGTGAGCCATGATTGTACCACTGCACTCCAGCTTAGGTGACAGAATAAAACCCTGTCTCAATTAAAAAAAAAAAAAATTCAAGTTCATTACTTTTTATTTTTCTGTAAACACCTAATGACTACTAAGAACACACAGGAGGCCAGGCTGAGGAGTTTGGCTTTTCACCTGTGGACCTCCATGGGGAGTCATTGCAAATTCTATCGGTTTGTTTTGCTTTTTCATCGAGATGGAATTCATATACAGTCAATCCTCCCTATTTGTGGATTCTGTATTTGCAAATTTTGCTTAGTGGCTAAAATTTATTTGTAACCCCAGAATCAATGTTTGTATTGCTTCTGTGGTCATTTACAGACATGCACAGAGCAGTGAAAATTTTGAGTTGTTCAACGCACAAGTTCCCAGCTAAACAATAGGATCCTTTGTCTTCTTGTTTTAGCTGTCATACATAAATGTCTTTTTCTGTTTAGTGTCACGTGTTATAGTGCTATCGGCCATGAGTTCAATGTTAACCAACCAACAAAAATATTAAAGTGTCTTTAAGCAGAAACACAGCTAAAACAAGGTTATGGTTATGTATTGATCAGTAGACAAAAATCTTGTGACCAGGGGTCATAGGAACCTAACCCTGTATTTCCCCTAGGAGAAACGGGTCAGTATTTACGAATACCATGTTCACTGCAACTTTATAGAACATAACTATGACAAATGGTGAGGATTGGTTGACTGTACCACATGATTCCTTTTTTTTCAAAATCAGACTTTCATGTTTTGGTATATGCACAAGGTTATGCAGCCATGAGTGTCACTGCAGATTTTCAAGCAGTAACATGGCCTCAATGAGCAGCAGTTTGAGAATTATCTGTCCATCTTTCCCTGTCCCCTGATTTCTTTCTGGTCTCTTTCAGAATGCCCAGGAAAACCATGGGCTGGCTGTCCCCACCCCCTCAGTTCCAGAAGACTTCGCAGACAAAGAAGTGACAGGTAAGTGAACCCTGGGCTTGAGGCTTGTCCATCTTTCTTTCTGTCCTCCTAGGGCCCTGAGTTCAAAAGCCAAGCATCTTTCTGACCATCTTCACAGCTGGTGACAAAGACAGAGTCCCCAGGCACAGCCACTCTCGATATCCTCAGTCCTCTTGATTACTGGCTGCAGGGGGCCCGGGCAGTGGGGCTGGGAGTTGAGGGGAGCCAGGGTCAGCAAAGGCCCCCTTCTGGCGGGGAAAGGATGGCGAGGCAACAAGGCCAGAGCAGGAACAAGTGCAGCATAAAGTGGGAGAAGGGCCTGGCTTTGAATCCCACCTCCCCACATATTCGCTTTGCTCTCTTGGGCAAGACGCTTCACCCCTCCTACCTCTGTATCTTCCAATGAACAATGGGAACAACAGTTCAGTTTGGAGGAGTAAATGAAGTGGTGGATGGGATATAAGTCATGTCTGTCACACCTCTCAGAGGTGCTTCAAACTCGCTAATGGCTTCCCTTATCACTCAGAGAAAAGGTTCTTGCAAGGACTGCTGGAGTCTAACCTGAGTCTGGCCACTTTCCTTGCTTGCTTTCTCCTCCCACACTACCCCGGCCAAAGTGTCTCCTGTTGCTCCTGAAATACCCCAGGCACATTTCCACCTTGGGGTCTTTGCACTGCAGACCTCTCAGGTTAGAATGCTCTTCTGTAAGGCATCTGTGTGGCCGTCTCCCTCACTCCTTCCTTCTTTGCTCAAATGTCACCTTCTCTGCGAGGCCTTCTCAGACTACTTTATTTATTTATTTATGTATTTAAGATGGAGTCTTGCTCTGTCGCCAGGCTGGAGGGCAGTGGCGTGATCTCAGCTCACTGCAACCTCGGCCTCCTGAGTAGCTGGGATTACAGGCGCACGCCACCACGCCCAGTTAATTTTTGTATTTTTAGTAGAGACAGGGTTTCACCATGTTGGCCAGGATGGTCTCTATCTCTTGACCCTGTGATCCGCCTGCCTCGGCCTCCCAAAGTGCTGGGATTACAGGTGTGTGCCACCGCACCCAGCTGGACTGCCCTATTTAAATTGCACCCACTGCACCCCTCCCTTGCTGGTATTTTTTCCCATCGCACTCATCCTCTAATGTGATAATAATGTACTCACACGTTATGTTCATTGTCCCATTCAAGCATAAGCTCCCTAGGAGGGCCAGTGTTTGTCGTTTTTTGTTTTGTTGGTTTTTTGCTGCTGTACCCCAGCTCCTAACTCCTGCCTGACAGTTGGTTGCTCAGTGAACGTTAGTCTTCCCTTTCCCTGCTCTTGGTTTCTTCAGTTTGAAGTCAGGCAGCTGGGAGGAGCCCTTCAGAGCTGCACACTCCCCAGGTTCGCCACACTGTTAGGGACTGAGAGGAGGGAAGCAAAGGATGGGTGCCACTAAGAAGGAAGTAGACTCTGGGAGGGGGGCTGGGGACCTGGTCTGAGGACAACAGAGGGATGTGAGCTGCTGGGACCAGGGACTCTCAGCATCTCTTTAGTACCCAGATTGTCCAGGCCACCTTCCTTCTGCACACCCCCGTTCCATCATGCAGACCAGAATCTGCCTCCGTTCTCTATGAAGTGGACAGCTGCGTTCTTAGTAGCTTCAGGGTCTTTAGAAAGCAGGAGTTGTTTGTGCAAACTGCTCCCTCCTGCAGGTCTGTCACCCAGCCTTCCTCACTGAGGAGCTCTCTCGCCCCTGCCCCATGACTTCCTATCTCTTTCCCACTTTCCCTGTCTCACACAGTCTGAAAAGGTCAGCACAGATGGTAGCAGTCAAAGTGGTTCCGTTCTATTAACTGCCTACTAGAAGCCTGGCACCATGACAAGCCCTTTCTGTGTATTTGCATGGATTCTCTCATTTAATCCTCACAACGGCTGTAAGAAGCGAGCACGGACAACATGCTCCTTTGATAGATGAGGAAACTGAGGCTCAGCAAGGTTAATTAGTGTGTTCAAGGTCGCTCATCGAATAAGTGGTAAAGCTAGGATGTGAACCCTGGACTTTCTGGCTTGGCCAAGATCAAGGTCGCAGTAAAAAACAGATGGCGCACTCAAAGGGGATAACTGAAGAGAGCTGAGTAAAGAGACGGTGTACCAGAGTGTGAGCTTGGTTAGGCGACTCCTGTCTCCTGGGAACAGTGACACCCAGGGACTGAACACAGTGGGAGAGGGACATCCCGACAGGACCTGTGTCTGCGGGGCAGGAAAGGCAGCTGCTGCCAACCTGTGACGCAGCCAGGAGGCAGCCAGAGGAACCAGAGCCCTGGCCCTCTTGTCCCCACCCCCCATCTCAGAGGGCAAGGGAGTCCCGGCGCAGGTTAGAGCGTGACTCTGGGGAGGCAAATGGAGGTTATTCCTTACAGGCTTCAAAGGCTGTGCCAGGGACAGGCAGGGGACCCTCCCTAGAAAGAAGGGGGACACTCCCAGGACAGCTCAGGAGACTGGACACGGGGCTGCTCCCTCTCTTGGTGTTCAGGAGAAAATGATCCAGTCATTCTCTTGGGCGCCCACCCCTGCCCCTGCGCTGGGTAAACAGAAATTGGCAGGGCTGGTCTGCCTTGTTTCCGTCCCCCATCTTTGTCTCTTCTTCTTTCAGGTACCAGCTCACTAGTCAATGGCAACCTCCGACTGTACAGCTCTGTGGGTGACCTGAGGCCTGGGCAGTATGGCCAGGATCTACTCATCCCCCCACCTCCCCCAGGCCCAGCCCCGGGGCCCCCCCAGGACATTTCACAACCTCCAGGGGAGTTGCCACTGCCATCTCCACCTTCCACAGCACCCCCACCGCCTCCCCTGCTGCTGGAACCCCCACCCCCGCCCAGCATGGCCCCACCTCCACCCCCAGTATTGGAGGCCCTGTCCCCACCACACACTCTTTCCTCCCCATCCACACCCACCCCTCCTGACTTCATTCCCCCTGCCCCACCCTTGGCCTTTTTAGCACCCCCACCACCTCCTATGCCAACACCAGCACCCCCAGCTCCAGCATCTCCTCACACAGTGGGGACTCGTCTCTTTCCCCCTGGGGGTGTCACCAAGTGGAAATCAGATATAGCACTGAATGGCAGGCAGGCAGAGGCCACCAGATTCAGCCCCCCGAGAAGCCCTGCTGAGCCAAAGGGGAGTGCCCTGGGACCTAACCCAGAGCCCCATCTCACCTTCCCCCGTTCTTTCAAAGTGCCTCCCCCAACCCCAGTCAGGACTTCGTCCATCCCAGTTCAGGAAGCACAAGAGGCTCCTCAAAAGGAAGAGGGGGCCACCAACAAGGCTCCCAGCCGACTCCCACTGCCTCCCAGCTTCCACATCCGCCCCGCCTCCCAGGTCTACCCAGACAGGACCTCCAAGCCAGACTGCCCTGGGGAGCTCAGGGCCGCAGCACCAGCCAGCCCAAGGCTTGGCCAGTCCCAGTCCCAAGCAGATGAGCCCCCAAGAGTTGGGACTCCGGGGACTCCGCCTCCAGCCCCTCCCCTGCCCCCTCCTGCAGCCCCCCTCCCTCCCCCACCACCCCCACTTCCCCCAGCTGCACCTCCTTTGCCCTGTGCTCAGAAGGCAGCCCATCCACCTGCTGGATTTACAAAACCCCCTAAATCCAGCCCTCCTGCTCTCAAACCCAAACCCAACCCCCCCAGCCCAGCGGACACAGCCTCTTCAGCACCTGTGGACTGGAGGGACCCCAGCCAGATGGAAAAGCTGCGGAACGAGCTGGCGGCCTATCTCTGTGGCTCCAGGAGAGAGGACCGATTCCTCAGTCACAGGCCAGGCCCAACAGTGGCCCCTCAGAGCAAGGAGGGCAAGAAGGGCCCCAGCATGCTCGAGAAAGAGACTCCCCCGAGCCCGCCAGCAAAGGACACTCCCCCAGGTGTTCCTGAAAAGAGTCTTGGCGGCAGCAGCCTGACAGAGACAGAGGCTACCCCCAGCCTGGCCCTGCCCCCTGTGGACTACATTCCCCAAGACTCTCCAACTCCCAGTGTGCGGCAGATCCGGAATGAGCTGGAGGCCCGGCTCTCCTCATCAGCAGAGAAGGAGGCTAAGCCCAGCATAGGATCTCTACCCCCTAAGCCTCGGCTAGAAGGGGGAAGAATTTTTGAAAATGGGGCTGATAATGACAAACTCTCCAAGCCTGTGGCCAAGAATCTGCCACCTCAATCTACCACCCTGCTGCCAACCACACCACTCCAGCCCAAGGCCATGTTGGGACCAGCCACACCACCCAAGGCCACATCTGGGTCAGCCACACCACCCCAGGCCACACCTGGGCCAACCACACCACTCAAGGCCACAGGCTGGGCCAGCCACACCAACCCAAGGCACCACCTGGCCAAACAATCCACTCAAGGCACAGCTGGGCAGGTCACAGCCACCGCGAGGCCACACCTGGGCCAACCACACCACTCAAGGCCACAGCTGGGCCAGCCACACCACCCAAGGCCACATCTGGCCTGGCCATATCATCTACAGCCACAACTCTGCCCACCACCACATCCCAACTGATGGCAGAGAAAGACTCAGGGCCAGGTGGGCAGCCAGCGAAGCCAGCATCTCAAGAAGTTTCCACTCCCTCCCAGCCAAGGGGAGAGGGGTCCCCCTCAGAGGCCACTAGGCTGCCCACACAGGGAGCCCACTCATCTCCAGCCCTCCCACCAAAGACATCTCCTGGTGGAGGAGAGGTGCCATGTCTCTACAAGCCCCACTGCCACCAGAGCAGCCTCAGCCGTGAGGTTGCTGTGGTGATGCCCACCCTGGCCAGAGGAGGGGCTGCAGGGCCAGGGGAGCCCGTAGAGGTGAAGGAGCCCCCAGGGCTGCCAGCCAAGCCCTCTGCCTCAGCCCAGCCCACTGATGAACTCCTCAGGCACCCGGTGACTGGGGAGGTGGTGGAGCGGGGCTCACCGATGGCCCTGCTCCTGGCGGCCAGGCAGAGGGCGCAGAAGGGGAGACCTGGAGGGGCTGCCCTGGGTCGGTCCTCTCTGCCAGGAAGTCTCCGTGACCACAGCCACCAAGCCGAGGTCAGCTCTGACAGCATCTTCCACAGCCAAGGCAGGCCCAACTCCTTCACTGTGGTGCCCAAGTTACCCAAGGAAGCTGAGAAGGACTCCCTGCTGACGACCGAAATACCCAATAAGTGGGGGCCGCGGCCGGGAAGAGACGCAGAGGGCACAGAGCCGAGCCGCAGGCACAACTGGACAAAGCCGGAGCCCCAGGCCCCTGTGGCCTGGGAAAGAGCTGCTACCTCCAACCTCCCCCAGGGCCACCCGCTGCCCAAGTCCTTCTCCTCTCCACCTTCTCCTTCGTACAAGAGAGAGGAGGAGGAGGAGGAGTTCAACTTCGAGGTCATCCCACCGCCGCCAGAGTTCAGCAATGACCCTGAGCCCCCGGCCCCGGCCCTCCAGTATCTGGGCCGCCGGAGCTCCCCTCCCCGGAACAACTACTCAGACTTGGGGCAGCCCCCGAACGCTGGCCCCGGGGCGCCCCCGGCTCTCGGCTTCTCGCGCTTTCCCGTGGGCGCGAGCTACGCCGGGGCTGGGGGCCTGGAGCGCTTCTCGGGAGGGGGCCGCTCGCTCATAAAGAAGCGCCTGTACGTCGGGGAGCCGCACCGCGGCCCAGGGATGCCCCGCGGTGGTACAGGCCGCAGCCTGAGCCCTCCCAACTGCTTCCGGCCGCAACCCGGAGGCCCCGAGATGCGGCGCGTGAACTCGGCGGGTCGCGCGCCCCCCGGAGGCCTGCATGCAAGGAGGCTGTCCCTGGAGGGCGCCGCCCGGGGCGCCGCGGAGACCAAGCACAAAGCGCCTGGCAGCGCCCCAGCTGCTGGCAGGTGAGCTGCGGACCCGCCTGGTGCGGGAAGCCGGGAGGGGTGAAAAGCCAGGCGAGGGCCAAGGAGGCCCGGCCATCAGTCAAGAGAAAACATTTGGTTTTCTCCCCTCGGCCTTGCAGGTAGAAAGGGGAGGGAGGCCCACTTACCGGGAGAGGGCGCTGTTGGCGCCTTCCTGACCTGCTTCCTGACCTCCCTTGTTGTCTTTCCCCATCATCTCCTCTCGTCTCTCTCCCACCCGCTAGATCCCAGCGGTCAGGCTAAGTGTGGGGCGGGCAGAGATCTGAGTGGTCCTTCGGTGGAGGGATTTCCCAACACAGAGTTGGATCCAGACACAGGCTAGGAGTGAAAGATTTCTGAGAGAGAGGATATTAGGCATGTTCTCTGGCCAGCAGGGCCCAGACCGGAATGGGAGCCCTGTCTGTGATGGTCTGCAGTCCCTCCCTGGGGTCGATAAGCCCAGGGCTTGTGGGGGCAAATACAGAAGTATGAGCAGCATCTTTTCCTCTCGGTCCCTGGGGGAGATGGGAGGCGTGTTGGCTAACCAGCTGCAGATATTAACCTCACATCTCTTGCTCTTCCCCAGGTCTCCCCACACCACCACCCGCTATGGAAGCCCCATCAACACGTTCACCGTGAGGCCTGGGACCCGCCATCCCATCTCCTATGCCTGCTCAGGGGCCCATTGGAAAGCCACCTCCTGAGCCAGGGGTTCTCTTAGCTCTATTCCAACAAACTGTGTCCTTAAGGATCTGGGCACTTGTTTCTTGTGGGGGGTGGGAGGTACACAGCAGCTGTTAGGCGACCTGACTCAGACACAGAGGAGTCTTTGATCCCCAAAGACCAACGATGAGAAGCAGTGGCCCAGGAAGATCAAGAGTGGGCTTCTGTTTCCCAAAGCCTGATGTGGCTGTGGACTGTACATATCGGGGGTGGGAGGGGAAGGAGGTTAGAGAGGAGGAACCATTAAGGACCTGGGCGCTGAGTTTCTGCTCTCTGGTACTATCTGCTTTAGCAAGAGTTATTTAAAACAGTTTTACAAGCACGGCCTACTGAGCAGGTTCTGAAAACAAGGGGTGGGTCACTAACTCTGAACTGGAACCCATCGAGATAGCTGTGATTGTCTCTCAGGCCCTTGCAAAGGGCTGATTCCCAGCTCTATCCTGGTGGGTGTGCAGGGCACCGAAGGGAGAGCTTTAGCCTCCATCACCTGCCATCCCAAGCAAGAGTGGACACCTGGGGTTCCTAGGCGCGTTGAGGTGGGACCAGGAATGTGTATGTATAACACATGGAGAAGGACCATGTGTAGGGTGGGGAGAGAAGCTCCCACATGTGGAATGGAAGCGCTTTGCATTGGCCAAGGGCAGAGGTGGGAGATTGATGGTTCATTTCTCCTTGGCTCTGGCCCTTAGCTACGGGGAAGCCTAGAGAGAGGACACTTGGCAAGTTTAGGATGGGAAGCAGGGTTAAGCCTGACTGTGCTATTCAGACCTGTGCAGCCCTGATTTTGGGGATTGGGCCCAAGGAGCCGTGAGTCTTTGGCTTGACACTAGGGGCTTTACATGGCCAGGTCTCATATGGGATTTGGAGAGGGCATTTTTCCTAACACTGATACTACAAGTCACCAATACTACTGATGCCTTAAGATGCTAGAAAGCCTTGGAGAGCGGAGGCAGCAGAGATGGGAATGGAGGTCTGAAGAAGCTTGCCGCTGAAGGGGAGTGTGTTTGGGAAAGTCAAGAGTGGTAGGATTGGTTGGCCGGGTGCAGTGACTCACACCTGTAATCCGAGCACTTTGGGAGGCTGAGGCTGGTGGATCACTTGAGGTCAGAAATTCGAGACCACCTTGCCAAAATGGTGAAACCCTATCTCTACTAAAAATATGGGGGGGAAAAAGGGTGCTAGGATTGGGCCAGTTAAGATCAGGGGAGACCTGGCCGGGCACAGTGGCTTACGCCTGTAATCTTAGCCCTTTGGGAGGCTGAAGTGGGTGGATCACGAGGTCAAGAGATTGAGACCATCTTGGCCTACATGGTGAAACCCCGTCTCTACTAAAAATACAAAAATGAACTGGGCATGGTGGTGTGTGCCTGTAGTCCCAGCTACTCGGGAGGCTGAGGCAGGAGAATCGCTCGAACCCGGGAGGCAGAGGTTGCAGTGAGCCGAGATCGCGCCACTGCACTCCAGCCTGGTGACACAGCAAGACTCCGTGTCAAAAAAAAAAAAAAAGAGCAGGGGAGACCTATTAGTATGGTGACCACGTGTCCTTTGCCTGGGCAGTCTAGGTTTATGCTTGTTTTCCAGTGAATTAGACCCCCTTCCACTTCGCAAAAAAGTCCTGGTTTAGATGCTATAATCACCAAACATACCAGGAAGCAATATTCCTGGGTCTTGCTTCCCTATCTTCAGGTCTTGGTGGGCCAAATTCTTGGGACCAGACCAAGGTGGCCTGCCTCAGTAAGAAGGAAGGACTGAAGAGTGGCCCATTTCAGAGAAGCAGGCTGGTGGGGGCCAGCCAGAAAGTAGTTCCCTTTTGGGGAAGATGTTGGACATTTATTCCTTGTGGTAACCAGCCTAGGCACTGTGTTGTCAGGACAGCAGGTGAGCCACTTTAGGGAAGAAAGTGCAGGGGTGGGTGGGTGCCCAGATGACCAACGCCAGCCACCATGATGGGGTAGGGCCTGGTTATCTGTGTTCAAGAAACGAATCCCACCCCAGCGCCAGCACTAGCTTTCTCTATATGTATGTATTTTCCCTGTACAATGTTTTATAAAAGAGATCACTAATTTATCTGCTGTGCTAAGGCCTGAGGAGTGATGTCTAGACTCTCAACTGTATATTGCTCTGGGGTGGGCAGAGAAGACTGAGTCTCACTTGACTTGGAAAATAAACGGCCAGTTTGGACTGGCCTCCAGCTCCGTGGCTGTGTTTGTCTAACAAGGATTTGGGTAACTATTGGATACAAGCCACTATGCTTAGCATGGATAGACTGCCATCAACTCACCCACATGACTCCTGTTCATGGCAAGCTAATAGTCTGTCTAGTGGAGGAGAGGACTGAAAAAGAGCACACAAAAACATCAAAAATTACAAGTAGTAAGAAGGAAAGGAACAGGGAACATGAGAGAATAGCTAGATGTGGGGAGAAGAATGGATTTACTTTAACAGGGTGGTCAGGGAAGGCCTCTTGTGGTGGTGACATACTGATTTAGGCAAAGCATCCAGCACGTGCCTAGCGCTTAGTAGTAGATCAACAAATGGCATCTTTGGGTGATGGCTACCTCACATTCGTATGTAGCCCATCACAATTTTCCATAAAGCTTTTTATTTTAAGGTCATCTTGACGTCATACTTTTAGAATATTTTATTTTATTATTATTATTTTAGACGGAGTCTTGCTCTGTCACCTAGGCTGGAGTGCAGTGGCACCATCCTGGCTCACTGCAACCTCCACCTTCCAGGTTCAAGCGATTCTCCTGCTTCAGCCTCCTGAGTAGCTGGGACTACAGGCATGTGCCACCACATCCAGCTAATTTTTGTATTTTTTAGTGGCAACGAGGTTTCACTATGTTGGCCAGGCTGTTCTTGAACTCCTGACCTTGTGATCCACTTGCTTCGGCCTCCCAAAGTGCTGGGATTGCAGGCGTGAGCCACAGCACCCGGCCCCCAATTTATTTTTTTTCCAGAAAAGAAAACCAGAAAAGTCATCTCGAGACAGTGTTAGAGAAAGCGTTGTGTTTCCTCCTCCGAGTCTTTTGTGGGGACTTTATGGGAAAAGGAAGATGACTCACTTACTCTGAAATTTGGGCTTCCAGGAAGGGCCTCTCCCATCCTTGGTGCCTCCTCGTTCTCCTGTCTCTCACTGTCCCCCAACATATACCATGATGTCCTCATTCTGGAAACCCCAAGTCAGGATAGTGGCTCGGGCCCTTCATCTGGCTTTTCTCCCCCACTTGCTCCCTTCTAACATTTTCTCCCTCATCTGACATGGGAGGGGCAATGGTTAACCTAGGAGGGAGGGCAGAGAACAAGGGCCCCACATCCTGGCTCTGCCTCTGACAAGCTGTGTGACCGGGGTGTCAGCTGACTCATCGGAGAAATGGGGAGGGTGGACTTGGGCCTTGTCTGGATATTAAACTTTGTTGGGTCCCTGACCTCTTTGAGAAACTGATGCACGCTTCTCAAGAGGCCACAAGTGCATTTTATACACTATTTCAGGCACCCCACAGATTCCCCCAGATTCAGGCTCCACAGGCTTCACGTTGAAAACTCCTTAAGTGACAGTGGTCAAGGTACCTGCCAACACTTATTTAACCTTGACAGTTTGCAAAGTTCCTTCTCTCTCTCATTTACCTGTGACAATCCTCTAAAATGTGCCGGCCACGTAATACTCCTAATTCCATTTTGCTGATGAGGAAACGAAGGCCCCCGGGAAGACATGTGAGTTGCTCAGAATGACCCCTCTGACTGGAAACCCTGTTCTTTCTGCGTGACTCATCACGGCTGCCTCCCTTATAGCTGTAACCACTCTCCCCACCCACTTATCCTCTCCCAGTCGTACCCCCCAAACTTTACCTCTTTCAGAGTGGCGGTGGAGGAGAGGCTGAGTGGGCTAGAGCTACCCTGGTGCCAAAACAAGATGAATGGGCATGGGTGGGGCAGATGTTCCTGGATCAGATTGGCCACACCTTGGTTTCTGAAGCCTTTTCACTATTCCCTGGGCCAGAACCCCACCCCACCTCTCTTGTGAAGCCCAGCCTGGCCCAAAGCAACAGCTAGGACAGGTCCCTGGAAAAGCTGAGCTGGAAGCCTGGGGCCTGGCGTCAGCAATATGTAAAGGGGCCTGTCCTGGAAAAGGTCAAGCTCAGCTTTTGTCATGGCCAGGCTTGTTGAAGGAGACAGGCTTCCTCTCACTCCAGGTGAGCCCTTCTGTGCAAAGCTGTAGGACAGAGGTGGCTCCAGAACCTGGAGGGGTGAGGGAGAGGCCACCTCACTGCTGAGCTGTCAGGCAGGCCTGCCTCCACCTGCTCACCCACCTGCCTACCCCTGGCAGCCTGTGGCCGCTTTCATTTCTGCAGCTCAAAGGCCATCATCAGTCAGCTGTACGGGCGGGATGGGCACTGGCACCCGTCAGAGAGCCCGGGCCTCCTCCCTCCGAAGCCCCAGGGATGGCCAGATTCTGAGCCCTGCTGTTGGGGCCTCTGGGATGCTTTTTGCCAGCGATGTGAGAAAAGGTGCTCTTCTGGGAGAGGGGAAGAGACCAAGGCAATTCATTATGAATACTCCCATTGCATGGATAATCCTGTGCTCCTCTGCCCAGTTCCCACACCTCTGGAAACTTCACTCACATTTGGCACAGATGAGCCACTCCTCCCTCCTTCCCCTCCTTGAGAACCGTTCTCTGAGCCTGTGCGGAACAAGGTGCTCCGATTCTCTGTCTTGCACGCTGGCTTCTTTCCTCCCTCCAGGTGTCTCCCTGTCCACCCTGTCCTCGGCTTTCCACTCCTTCTCTAGTTTCTTCCTTAGGAGACAGTGTCACCCCTCACGCTCACCTGTAACCAGGGGTCCATATTTCTAACTTTGGAAGTGCCTCCTGGATATGTCCACGTGGGTGCCTGGCCATCCACTCAAATCCAACCTCTCTAAAAAGTGATTCTCCCCTACTTCTCACACAATTGTGTGGCCACAGCAGCCAGACCAATGGCTCCAAACTACCCCCAAATACTCATCCCCGCCTCACTGCTTGGGCTCCCTTGGCTTCCCCTAGGCCAGCTTACACTCAAGGCCCAGCTTGGATCGGAGCTCCTACAGGAAGCCTTCCCCAGCCCTGCTCTGCTCGGAGACCTCTTCCTCCTCCATACCTACCTCTCCCACTTCTGTGGCAGCCTCTTCTTTATCCTCAGGCTTCAGCTCAGACATCCCTCACCTACGAGGCCACAGCAGCTCCTGCCGAAGCTTCCCACAGCCCCTGCTGGTTTCCTTCCCCCAACTAGTGTTACTTGGTCTACATCTCTCTCCCAGTAACGTATAAGCTCCACAATGTAAGGACTGCCTCACTCATCACGGTATCCCCAGCATCCAGTGCTGCTCCTGGCACTAGCAGGTACTCAGTATATTGAGTTTATTGATGAATACAAGTTAGTACTGAATCAGATATCATCAAGCACTGTGTAAGTTCCTTGGCTGGGCGCAGTGGCTCACGCCTGTAAACCCAGCACTTTGGGAGGCCGAGAGGGGTGAATCACCAGGTCAGGAGTTCAAGACCAGCCTTACCAACATGGTTAAACCCCATCTCTACTAAAAATACAAAAAAATTAGCTGGGCGTGGTGGTACGCGCCTGTAATCCCAGCTACTCAGGAGGCTGAGGCAGGAGAATCGCTTGAACCTGGGAGGCAGAGGTTTGCAGTGAGCCAAGATCACACCACTGCACTCCAGCCTGGGTGACAGAGCGAGACTCCATCTCAAAAAAAAAAAAAAAAAAAAAAAAAAAAAACGTTCCTCAAGGGCAAAGGCCATGTCTCCAGTGGACTCATGAATACCTAAACTTATCCTTTCTAAGTTGTGGAACTTCATCTAATGCTGAGGTTATCAGGCTGCGAGAAGGTTTAGTTTTAGGGATGAGTTTCTAAGGTCTCATCATAAAGGTGTCCAGATGCCTTGGAGTGGCTCCTGCCTGGTGGGCTGAGATACTGCATCCTCTAAGTAGAGACATGAGCTGGGATGTGATGGTACCAGGTGAGGGAGTTCTGGTCCTCAGAAAGGGCTAAGGCGTGGGGATCTCAGGCAGCCCTCTGCACCCCGCCAGTGAGCCAGCCACAGGGCGGCCAGCTCCAGTAATCCAAGTGATTTGCACTCTGTTCCTTTTTCCCTTTTGAGCTCCTTTGGTCTTCAGCAAACTTACTTGGTGCCACAGCCTATCTCAGCTGTGGACCAAGGGTAAATTTCTGTCACATGTGGGCCAGAGAACTGAGAAGGGGCCAGGGCGGCAGAAGCCAGCCAGACCCGACCCGTTCACCAGCCCTCCCCACCTGCAGAGCCCACCTTCAAGAGGAAAGCCCTACGGTTCCAGGTTTGGTTTTTATTAAGGAATGGGCTCCCTGCACGAGGTTCTCAGGGCCTAGCAGGGGTCTAAGCACAGAGTGGGGACCCAAAAGACTTGCTGTTTTGAATCTCTTCCACCTCAGTATAGGATCATTAGCCCTAATGCTACTCCCAGAAATGGGATACTTGCTTCTCATTTTTTTTTTTTTTTTCCTGAGGCAGGGTCTTGCTCTGTCGCCCAGGCTGGAGTGCAGTAGTGCCCTCATAGGTCACAGCCTCCGGAGCCCAAGTGATCCACCTCAGCCTTCCAAGTAGCTGGGACTACAGGCATGCACCACCAGGCCTGGCTCATTTTTTTTTTTTTTTTTTTCTTTTATTCGACGATGAGTCTTGCTTTGTCGCGAGGCTGGAGTGGGGCAGTGGCGTTGATCCCTCGTGCTTCACTCGCCCTCCTGCGTTCAAGGGCGAGTTGCCCTGCGCCTCCAGCCCTCCCTACACAGCTAGCTGGATTAACACAGGGCGCCTGCGCCACCACGCTGGCCACTTTCTTCTGTCATGTCCTTTCAATAGGACAGGGTTTCACCACTGGTCTCTGAACCTCTCGACCTCTGTGATCGGCCCTGCCTCGGCCTCCAAGTGCTGCGACTTCACAGGCGCTCGAGCCACTGTGGCTCTGCCTAACATTTTATTTTTTTTTTCTGCGGACGTCATTGCTCTGGTCACCCGGCGCTGGAGTCGCCAGTCAGGAGAGACCGAATCTCAGCTCACGCAAGCTCCGCCCTCCCCGGTTTACGCCATTCTCCGCTGCTCAGCCTCCCGCAGTAGCAGCTGGGACTGCACCCACTGCGCGGCGCCACCCACTCAGCCCTGGCTACT